CTACAGCCACTGAACATGGCATCCTACACTAAGAAATTGGCTCCAAATAGCAAGTTCATATATCAGGTTTGTATTGAGGTCCTCTGATAGTCCAAGCTTCACAGCTGTCTCCCATATAGAGAGCCTAGTAGTCCATTCCCCTGGAATCTCTACAGTTGTAGATATAGAGTTCTTGAGTTTCCTAAAGTTTGATTCAGTTGTCTCTGTAGATTTCTCCATTATGATCTTGACCTCCCTTGCTCATATCTTCCCTCCTCCCTCCCTTTGACTAGATTCCCAGAGCTCAGCATGGTTCTTGGTTGTGCAACTTTGCATCTAGTTCCATCAACTGCTAGATGAGGGCTCTACAATGATAGTTGGGGCATTGATCAATCAGATTGCAGGGGTAGGTAGGCCAGTCCAGACATCCTCTATACTACTGCTGGGAGTCGTAGCTGGAGGCTCCTTGGAGATTCTTGGATGTTACCCTAGCACCAGGTTTCTCCCTAAGCTCATAGTGGCTCCCTCTATCAAGATATTTCTTTCATTGTTCTTCCCATGCATCCCTCTCCACCTCAGCCATCTCCTTCTCATTCCCTCTTTGCTCCTTCTTACCATCCCACCCCCAGTTTGCTCCATATTTCTCATCTAATTTCCTTTCCTAAAGGTTTTCCTTGTTACTTACCTTCTTTGGAGATGTGGACTATAGTCTGGTTATTCTTTGCTTTACATCTACTATCCGTAACTTGAGTGAATACATATTGTGTTTGTCTTTCTGAGTCTAGGTTACCTCACTCAGGATGATGTTTTCTATTTCCAATCCTTTGAATGAAAATTTCATGAGGTCATCATTTTTAATGGCTGAGTAGTACTCCACTGTTTAGATATATGACATTTTCTTTGAACATTCTTCTGTTCAGGGGCATCTAGTTTATTTCCAGGTTTTGGCCATTATGAATAATGCTGCTATGAACATTCATGAGCAAATGTCCTTGTGGTATGATTGAGCATCCTTTGAGTAAATGCCCAAGAGTGGTATTGCTGAGTCCTCAGGTAGATTGATTCACAATTTTCTTACAAACTGAGATACTGATTTCCAAAATGGCTGTACAAGTTTGCACTCTCACTATCTATGGAGGAGTGTTCCCTTGACTCACATCCTCTCCAACATAAGACTGAAAAAAACAGATTTAAAAAATAAACATATCTATGTTTAAGAAACTAAAACAAGACATGAATATACTTTCAGAGAAAATGTCAAAGAGCTGAAACAAATAAGAAAGCTAATTCAACATATGATGATTAAATTCAACAAGGTAATTGCTTTAAAAAAAACCACCAAAGTGAAATGATTATGGAAATAAAATTTTTCATAAGTCCAAATTAAAGCCCAGTAAACAGATTCACAACAAAATGGATTGATCATGAGGAAAAAGGAGTCTTGGGCTGGAAAACACGTTAGAAAAAAAGTGGATCAGTCTAGTGGCTGTGAACTCCTCCTTGTTCAGGTAAGCTGTCTCTGTGTGCTTCTGCCGCATGGTCTTGTCCTCTCCATCTGCTTCTGGGTTCTAGTTCGACTCAGTGTTTATGTATGGGTGTTTGCTCCTATTTTCAACAGGCATTAGTTGAGGGCTCCATGGAGAAGTTAGTTGTTGATCTCACTCTCCGGGAAGGGCATTTATGATAGCCTTTCCACGGAAGCTGAGATTGTTAGTTGGGAGCAGTCTTGTAGTTCTCTCGACCTTTCTTTGTGTTCAATTTTATCTTCAAACCCATATTGGCTCCCTCTTTTATGTTCTCTCTCTCAGAGTACAAGCTAATCCTACAAGCTAATTCAAAACAGCTGGACAAAACAGCCCTACAGATTACAGCCAGGATATCTGAATCTTCTTCGAATCCCCCCAAGACAGCAGGAAATAGTCTGGAAAGAACAACGCCCAAATTCCCAAATATTGTGTATAAATGTTTGTTTTCATTTAATTGGACTTTGTTATATAAAATTAAATAAAATAAAAAAAGAAAAAAAGTGGATCATTCAGAAAAGGTTAATGAAGAACGTTACTAAAATATGAATGGGATATAGGAGGACTCAGGATAGCCATCAAAAGACTAATCTCCAAATTCCTGGAAATGAGGGAGAATAGTACATAAAGTTATTGAAAATATTATTAATGAAACTACAGAAGAAAAATCCTCACATTTAAAGATAAATAGGCATGAGGTCAAATCTAAGTGAACGAGAAATGCTTTAGCATATGAACACCTCGTTCCTAGGTGAAATATTTGAATGATGAAATCTCAATGGAGGGAATACATTAATAAGTCAACTTGTGAGAGCTTATACCTCACTTGAAGCCCTCTATGTAAATCCTGTGTGCATATGAATGTAATCACTTCACTTCCTATTCTGGTGAGCATAAGCCAACTTTTTCCTCTTTTTTGCATGCTCCTTCTTGAAGCGTTAGGTTTAATACACAATTTCTTATATAAGTGGGGTTGGTCATGATATTTTATAATAACAACAGAAAGTAACTAACATACACTACTCATGCTTTCCTTCCCAAATTACTCTATTTTACTGTAATCACTTTTCCTCAATCCCTCTTTTACTCACATTAGGCCATGATCCATTGCCGTTACTCACATGGTTACAATGGCATTTACCCATGCACAAACACACAACAAACTTGGTGATTTTATATATGGAACCAAACTGATGGCACTATATAAAGAAATTCTGTAAACATACTGTGAATGAACAGCTATCAGTAAGAACAGGGTAATTCTTTGGAGGGGGGACCCAAAAATAATTTATTTTGCCCATTTCATTTTCTCTGAATTTATTATTATTTCCTATTTTACATATTGATTCCAGTTCCCCCTCCCAGACTTCCATGCCCCCGATGCTCCCTCCCATCCCATTCCCCACCCACACCACAGAGAGGGTGATGCCTTCCAAGAGATCATCAAAATTTTCAAGTCATTTGGAGTAGGATCTAGACCCTTCCTCCTGTCTCTACATTAAGGGAGTATCCCTCTATGGGGAATGTGTTCCCAAAGTCCTTTCATGCACCAGGAATACATCCTGGTTCTACTATCAGTGGTCTTGTAGACTGTCCAGGCCTACTAATCGAGACCCATGTTGGGGGGGGGGGGGTCTGTATCAATCCAATGCTGGTTTTCCAAATATCAGCCTGGGGATTCATGAGCTCCCGCTTGTTCAGGTCAGCTGTCTCTATGGGCTTCTCCAGCCTGGTCTTGACCCTTTGCTCACCACTTCTCCATCTCTACAACTGGAGTTCAAGAGTTCAGCTCAGTGTACTGCTGTGGGTGTCTGCTTCTGCTTCAATCAGCTACTGGATGAAGGCTCCATGATAGCATATTAGGTAGTATCAATCTCATCATCTGGGAAGGGCATTTAAGGTAGCCTCTCCACTATTTCTTAGATTGTTAGATGAGGTCATCCTTGTGGGTCTCTGGACATTTCCCTAATGCCAAATTTCTCTATAAACCTATAACGGTTCCCTCTATTGTGGTACATCGTTTCTTGCTGTCCTATATTCTTTCTCTAACTCAATCTTCCTGCTCCCCATGTCCTCCTTTCCCCTATTTTCTCTTTTTACTAACTCCCTCTCCCCCATTCCAATTTTCTCAGAAGACTTTGTTCCTTTCTTCTTCTGTGAGGGATCTTGTATGTCTCCCTTATGGTCTTCCTTGTATCCTATTTTTTCTGGCAGTGTGGATTATAGGCTGGTGATGCTTTGCTCTATGCCTAAAATCCAAATATGAGTGAGTACACACGTTTTCTTTTTGTTACTCGGTTACCTCACTCAGGATGGTTTATTCTTGTTCCACCCATTTGCCTGGGAATTTCATGATTCCATTGGGTTTTTGTTGTTATTGTTGTTGTTGTTTTGCTTTCCTATGAGTAGTAGTCCATTGTGTAAATGTACCACATCTTCTTTATCCATTTTTCAGTTGAGGGGCATCCAAGTTGCTTCCAGGTTCTTGCCATTACAAATAATGCTGCAGTGAACATAGTTGAACAGATGTCTTTGTTGTATGAATGTGCATCTTTTGAGTATATGCCTAAGAGTGGAATTGCTGAATATTCTGGTAGACGGATTCCCATTTTCCTGAAGAAATGCCATAGTGATCTCCAAAGTGGCTGTATGTGTTTGCACTCTCAGCAGGAGTGATCCCCTCTTTCCACATCCTCTCCAGCATAAGCAGGACAGTAACACTTTAAGCACACTGACATTCCCCTTCTCCTAAGAATTTTCAAATGTGAACGTACTTCATGTAGTAAATGGAAGAAATGTGTACCTCCTCCCTGCCCATACTACTGTTATATATTCTGACTTGAACATGTCTTGTGTATGCTGTCCCAAAATAGCTATGAGTTCAAATTTATGACCGCAAAGTACTTGAGATATAAAATATGGAAACAAATAAATACTTATTTGGAAGTTTCATCTCAACTGTGTAAGCTTCCTACTGCTACAAGGTGCTATGGTCTCTACTGGAGGAAAACAGTAATCAATTTCACCCAGCGATAAATAGAGAGAACTACATAAAGAACTGTCCTGGCAAGGTAGGCTTACCTATAAAGCAGTGGAAGAAAAATGGCATAAGTAACCAACCACATTATGATAGTGTACATGATAGCACCATGTAATGAAGTGTCCATAACTAAAATAGTTAATGTGTCTAAGAACATGTGGCTATCCTGGCTTTTTGCTATAATGGAAAGTATATCACTCCTCTATGAAATGGTCTTACAGATAAAACAATGCATAACATTATTAAATTGATATTTTATATATAATTATCAATAAATAAAATGATAAAATAATAATTTACTATACTGATACATTTGCAGACATGGGTATCTGAGGTTATATATATATATATATATATATATATATATCATTACAATATTACAATTTACAAAATTATTATAGGATTATTTCCTTTTGATATTTCTTATACAGAAAAAGCAAAATCTTGAAATAATGGAGTCATGTCTCATCACTAAGGGGCATAAAGTAGGAAAACACATGGAAATGATGGTTGTGATATTAATTAGCCACAAATTGGAATCATGGGCAAGAGCCATGTAGCCCTGTAAAATGGAGGAGACGGTATAAAAAGGTAGAAAGGTGCAAACCAAGACAAGGATGTTCTGTGTGGCTCTGGATTCGGGGGAAATTCTAGTGGAGGCGTGAGTGTTGAGGATGTATTTAATCCTTTTCTTGTGTCTATAAAGTATGACAATCATGGAGATGCTGGAACATACAATAAGTATAGAAAATAATACTTCAGGGAACACACAAAATGCTGTGTACAATGAATCTACTATTTTGTCATGACTGAGAGAGTGACACAATTCAAAATATGTCTTTTTTGTCTTATTTTCACCATTTCTTTGGGTAGATGTATACATGGGTAAAACAATATTTACTGTCATGTACAGGATCCAAAAAAATGAAATGGAGAGGTGAATATATTTTGGTAATTTAATTTTAAGATCTTTGTAATAGGGGACACTAGGGCAGATGGCAATGGCCTGGAAGACACTTAAGAGGCAGGTTGTAGCGATGGACATGTTCCTACCAAGTCTATAAATATATAAAATAAGTTTGCATTCAACATCACTGAAGAACCTTTTCCACTCAAAAGCTCTCATTATCTGGGGCACTCCTCTAGAAAGAATGATTAAGGAATTTGCTGTGAACACGTGTGTAAGAATTAAGTCTACAGTCTTTAATGTCTGTTCGCTGTAGTAAATTAGTAGATAGTGAAAAAGAAAAGATACGTTTCCCAGAATTCCTAATGTACTCTGAAGTGAGATTACTGTTCCTATAGCCAAGTTTCTGGAGTCCATTCTGTCAGGCAGCAGTTTTTACTTTAAAATTATACTAACAATTATGTCTCTGGGCCAAATTATGCACTGAAAATACCTATCCTGTTATGCATGTGAAGAATAATCATTTGAGTTCATATTGCAAAGACAGAGTGTGTTAATTAACAAGACTGTCTGAAAACAAGTAGTTTGCAATCAGTAATAACTCTCAATGATCGTTGAAGTTTATAATTGTCCATATTTATGGAGTGAATTTCTAGTAAATCTTTACATTTCTTAAAGTCTTCAGCATTTAAAATAAGACCATATTTCAATGAAGAAGCAATCACCAGTTGAATGCAATTGGAAAGAATGTTCACATCCACATTCTAGAATGAACTGTTCTTTATACAATACATTGCTGGAAAGGAGACAAAAGTTTGCAGCTTCAATGGGAAGGAGCTGCATGATATATTCATCCAGAATTTAAACTAAAAAATGTACATTTTACCTCATTGAAGTGAAAATTTCTATGTTCTTATATGAGAAAATATTTATAAAATAGCAGAAACCAATCTTATAGTTCAAATGATAAGTTAGATAAGGTTAAGAAATACAGCACATCATATTTCACACACACACGTACACAATTCACTATGAGATATTGTGGGGAAAACAGAAAAAAAAAGTATGTATCCTGTTTGGTGAATTCATATGAAATGTACAACAACCACACCAATGAGGAAAAACCAGGGGAAGGATGTCCATTTTTCTAAATAGGTCCATTGTTAAATGTCAAATATAGGAGCAGAAATGTAAATGAAAACAAGCATGAAACACCAGCCCTTGGTAAGAATAATAATAAGGTAGGTATATGACACACTGTCAACAGTAATTCCTACTGACTCAAAAGTTTTACTGAAGCATACATTGTGTCTACTTGTTCAGTTTCACTCCTGTGGAAATGTCTTCAAAGATAAATTTTAAAATAAATGTGTAAGAAATTGCTTCTAACCAAGGACCCCCCCAGTGCATTCTTTAAGAATTAATTCTTTCAGTTAAGCATGGTGTTGTGCACATTTAATTCTTCCACCCAGAAAATAGAGATAGGCAAAACATTGTGAGTTCAAGGCCATGATCATCTACATAGTTAATTCCAGGACAGCCAGAATTACATAGACCATGAATCAAAACGAACAATAAGGAATATATTATTTTTGCTGATATTCATAGTGCTGTCCTCTGTATCAGTATAAATAGATAAGGACTGCACTAACAAAGAGTAAATGCATAAAAAAATTTTAAAAAGTTCATTTGATATATATCCCTTGAGGCAATTTTTAGTGCAGGTCAGCAGTAATCCAGCCTCTTACAATTTAGCACAGATATGAACCCATGATCCCAAAGTCCTATTCTGCCAAGAACTCAACAGGATTGTATGACTGATGTGATGAATTATGAGTATAAAAATTATACTTTTATAGTGTTATATCTATTTCATAAATCATAGAACTGCAAACAGGGTTTTACTCTGTAATCTAGGCTGGCCTGAAACTTCCTATAACTTCTCCTTGGTATATTCATCCAAGCATCTGTTTCTTGGTGTATGTTACATACTAAGTAGATTTTTTACTTGTGAATTCAAGTGCATTAGACATTGTGTGTTCTATGTCTTTCTTTTGTACAAAACAAAATCTAATTACCTTTCACAACAACAGGAAGTGATTTTGTTGTAAAGGTTGCTGACATATAATTGATATGAAGTGTGTCCTCTGGAAGATGAAAGCCTTAGTATTATAGGTCCATATAATGATCCAAGGCAACCCACCCAATATTAAATTGATGAATATTACAACTTACTCATGATACACATTGAAAACTATCCTGAAACTTTGTTGCAATTTATGATAATTTAGTTGTTATTTTAGATCAGGAAATCATACCAACAATAATATTTTTGAGAATATATGGGATCCTATAGAGAATAGTTTTAAAAACAGTACACTTAGCAACATACTCTGATCAGTCAGTCCACTTGGAGGACTTGGTTTACTGAGGTGCTGAAATTATTGGCTGAGGATAGTGTTATCATATGGCAGGTGAGTTAGGACAGACAAACAATCCAGATTAACAGAAAATTTTCCCAACTGAGCTGCCAAGTACTTGAAAGAAAATTATTAGGAGTGGCATGCATCATATTAATGAACCATGTATAAGGCCCTGCGTGCTCTTTCAGTGTACAGAACAAATAAGAAAGAAGAAGCCAGATGATACAGGAAACCAATTTTCATCCAGACAGGTGTGAAGCATCCCTGTTTTACAATTCCTGCAGGTACCCTGCCAGTTTCAAATGATTTTCCTTTGTCTTCAAAGCCATGAAATTTAAGATGTATGTATGAGTTATCACACCTATTACATCACCTTAAATCAACTTTTTTCATAGAGCATTACCTATTCAAAACTTAAATGCATCGAATCTTCCTGAAGCTAGACTGAAAACTGCAAACAGAGGTGACAATGTTATGAATCACCATTACAATACTATTCCTCTGCCACCTACTGTGATTTCAATAGAGTTTTGATGTTAACAATATCAACTCCCTTCACTTCCAAAACAAATCCTGAGGGGAGAAAACCTTGTAGATGATTGTCTAAAGAGAAAATGTCATTCTGAGCAATCTGCACACTAGGAAAATGAGAATATAGCCTGGTTGCTTCCACAGCCAGTCACCGAATTTTTTAGTCAACAATGATGTATCAGCCACATTTTTAAATTTTATATTGCTATAAATTTTATTTCTATGCTAGCCTAAATTGACATCATGTAAAATGCAATTTATTTCTACAGAAACTGCCTGTATCCAAGTTGGACTTAATGAATGTAAGAGATAGATACCCAATATTTGTTTTTCTGGCTAACATATTTTTATGATTTCATGTGTCTGAATTGAATTGAATACAGTTGCTTTTATGAGCCTTGTTCAGTACTCATAATAGTCTATGAAATATAAAAACTAATATAAGACATAAGACATAATGCTGTGTGTAGGATATCAGTTATTACTATGGTGGACAGAGAGCTCAGGTAGTAAACTGATGGCAGTGTAGGTAGATGACCTATGTTCAATCTTCAGATATCAAGTAAAAATATAGTTACTGTATTGTAGTATACTCCAGAGAAGCACATATGGAAAACAAGTCTTGGATCACCAGTCTAGCCATGTGAGATAAATCCAGGCAATGCAGGGACCCTGTTTCAAAAAGAAACAAGGTTATGTTATCTAAGGAGTCCAACAGCACACTGAAATGATAGTTCTCCTGAACTCATGGTGCACTTGCATCTGCACACACACACACACACACACACACACACACACACACACACGTACATATATGCACATACACATGCACGCATATGCACACACAGAAAAGAACATTAAATTCTCACCAAGTTCAAATTGAGTTTCACATTTTATAATCTCTATGTTTATCAAACTTGTAATTAAAAATCACATTTGTTAATTGGATTTAACTTCAAAATACACATGGATAGAATACAAGAATATAAAATATGCGTTTTTGTAACTTTAAACACACAAGAAAATATGAACTATGAAGAGATTCCCATGGTCAATTCATGCTTTCTGTGCACAAATTATGGTTTTCGAGAATGTCTGATATCAAATTTTAAAATGACACTCATGGTTGGCATACCATTCAAGTATCACTAAACTAGAAAAAATAGCAAAATGTGGATTACATGGATCTGGAGATGGTTGTTAATCAAGGTTCACAATTACAATGTCACCTTCTCTTCAGTACCATTTTCCCAAGTTCAAAAGATAAAGCAGCCTCATCAGTCATCAGCATTGAATGTCAGGACACATTCAGCTCCTGAGCCATCATAGATGGAGTGCTGCCTAGAAATATGTTTCACCCAGAGGCAGATCAGGATGAGATGATTTTGATAATCTTCACCATGCCTTTTAAGCTTTTATGCCAGCATGCATGTTTATCATCTTGAGAATTTATCATCTGGTTCATGTATAACATTAAGAGTTGGAAGTGGGAAAAACATAATCATTGCCATCCTTCATCACCTTTGAAATCAAATTCATGATCACTGGAATGGTTCATCAATAGTCAGGCAGGGATTTTGTTATTTTATTTTTATACATCAGAAATTAGCACAAATTCAGTGAAGCTGTTGGCCTTAGTAATTTTGTTTATATTCCAGAAATCCTTCCTCTTACATTGATAGAATTCACAATGTTCTGTTTCTACCTAGAATACATTTCCAGACATGAGTGCTTACCAGATTTCCCACCTGTGAATGCTTTTCCTTCCAGACTGAAGTACACAATGATCACTTGACTCATTCCCTGTACAAACCATCAATTTGTGGTGCAGCACCTGACATAGCAACTCGTACCAAGAGAATAGGAGGTAGCTGAACCCTAAGATAAAGGATCATAGCTCTGTGACCTCAACTCCCTTCAGAATGACAAACTTCTGATCTGTAGTTGCAATAATTGCTCGGGCTTTGGGAGTCAAGGGATTTTCTGGAACATGTTCATTTTCTAATGAACACCAATTACTGTCCACTTTCTAAAAGGAAAATGTGTTTGGGAAGGCTGCAACTTTTTCATGATCCCCGAAGGCTATGTTGGAGGGACTGTTCTAGGAAAAGCGAGCTCTCGTGTGGTTTTTTTGTTTTGTTTTGTTTTGTTTTGTTTTTTTGACTTGTTTTCTCTGGGTCCTGTTACACCAACAAACATCACTTATTAGTTTTCAGTTCCCATTGCTACCCATTTCCAACATTCAGCAGGGCACAATCAGTCAGGAATCTGGGAATATCTTGATATCACAATTTTCACTAAAACTCAGTGCAATATTGGTACAACTGCATGCAAATTAACTAGAAATAATGGTAGTAAATATTTCAGGAAAAGTTACAAATATCATGCTGAATTCAGAGGAACTGATCAGATCCTTATAATCAAAGAAATAATATGTGTGTGTGCATACATGCAATATATATG